GTACTTTACATATACAATTATGCTTATTCCTTGCAACTGCCTTTTGAAATGTTTGAAATTAAGTATTTAAATATTCGAATGAATATTATTTCCATTTTACTGATGAGCAAACTATCTCACAAAAGCAGGATACAGAGGTGTGTGTTTCTTTGTATATGTTCAAAGACTGGCAAGAAATTGCAAAGTCACAATTACCGTGTTAGGGTGGTATGATAATGTTAATTTTCCTTTCTTTATTTTTTTCAAATCAACTGTGTGAATAAAAATTATTACTTGGAGCCTGCCTGGTGGCGCAGGGGTTAAAGTGCACACATTGTACTTTGATGGCCCAGGGTTTGCCAGTTTGAATCCTGGGCACGGACGTACCCACTGCTTACCAAGCCATGCTGTGGCAGGCATCCCACGTATAAAGTAGAAGAAGTTGGGCCTATATAGATGTTAGCTCAGGGCCTGTCTTCCTCAGCAAAAAGAGGAGGATTAACAGAAGATGTTATTTCAGGGCTAATCTTCCTCAAAAAAAAAAAAAAAAAAATCAGGGGGCCAGCCCAGTGGCGCAGCAGTTAAGTTCACGCGTTCCGCTTCCCAGTGGCCTGGGGTTCACTGGTTCGGATCCCGGATGCAGACATGGCACCACTTGGCAAGCCATGCTGTGGTAGGCATCCCACCTATAAATTAGAGGAAGATGGGCATGGATGTTAGCTCAGGGTCTTCCTCAGCAAAAAGAGGAGGATTGGCAGTAGTTAGCTCAGGGCTAATCTTCCTCAAAAAAAACAAAAAATCATTGCTGATTCCAGACTCTGTTATGTGACGAAGAGTAGATTTCTGTGACTAAATATAGATATAATTATTGAGATAAAAGAAAAGTAACAGTACAATCTTGAATTACTTTTTGAACCTGAGTGTTCCATGAAATATAATACTTAATCAGAATTATAGGAAATAATAGTGTAAATGGATCATGAGGTCTTTTTTTTAAAATTCTGTGTGATTTCCCTCATGTGGAAGATAAACAAACACACAGATAAGGAGAACAGATTGGTGGCTACCAGAGGGGAAGGGAGTTGGGGGGAAGGGCAAAAAGGGTAAAGGGGCACGTGTGTACGGTGACAGATGGAAACTAGACTTTTGGTGGTGAACATGATGCCGTCTATACAGAAGCTGAAATATGATGATGTGCACCTGAAATTTACACAATGTTATAAACTGATGTGACATCAATAAAATCTTTTTTTAAATTGGTACACTGTTGAGTTTAAAACAAACTAAAAACAGTAGGTACAAAGATAGTTAAGCTAATAACCAAAAGTTCTTATTGCTTTGAAGTTTCATTTATTTAAATGTTTTAATTTTCTAAATCCACAGCTCAGTAAAAAAGGTCTTTAAAAAATAAAACGCTTAGTTTTTTTGTATTCAGCTTTGAAAAACCGAAAGTGACATAAAAACAATTTTTTTATTTTGCTCAGCATATTTTCTAATTTTGTAGAAATTTTGTAATGTTTGTATTTTCTAATTTTTTTTACAATGTGGTATTACTTGAGGAAGTTAAAAAGTTCTAAAATAAAAACAAGCAAGTTTAAAAAATAAAATGGTAAAATATATTTAACTTAAATTTACCATTTTAACCATTTTTAAGTGTATAGTTCTTTGACATTAGTACATTCATATTGTCGTGCAGCCATCACCACTGTCCATCTCAAGAACTCTTCATTTTGCAACCTGAGAATCTCCCGTTAAACACTAACTCCGCATTCCCCCTCCCCCAGCTCCTGGCGACCACCACTCTGCTTTCTGTCTCCGTGAGTTTGAGTGAGTTTGACGGCTCTGGGTACCTCATATAGTGCTTGTGGGCCATAAACTTCTTAAGAGACTGTTTTCTTGTTTTTCTTCTGATTTCTTTGGCTCAGCTTTCTATAGTCACCAAATTATTTGAGATTTCTCTTAGAGCTTTTATTAAGAGATAAAACCAGTAGTGAAGAAAAACCAAGTTAGTATAGAAAGTTCTAAATATTCCCTGTGTTAGTACCATTTCAAGAAATGATTCTCTAAAATATTTATAAATTTTATTTTATAAGCTTTCTAATATACCAGTAAAAAATTTCTAATCGCTCCCACTTGACAGTATGTAGAATTCACTTTCATTTTACTTCTTGGTACGGGTCAGAAACATTGCTGCATTTCTGTTAAGAATAATCAGATTTTAATGATCCAAAGATTCTTCAGGCCTTCTGTCTACAGTTGGAAAGTAACGTTGCTGTTGAAACTTTTGGAGGGATCCTAAGTAGACCACACCCCACTCTCTCAGAAACAGGCGGTTTGTTACTTTCTTTCACTTGACGGTATTTGGGAGATTATTTATTTTTTCTAAAAAATTAATTTCCTAAGAATTAGAAAATTTCTGAGAATCTAAATTCTAAGAATTATTTTTCTGAAGTATTATTTTTAGATAATCATTTATTTATTGTGTTCCTTTATATACTGAGCTTTCACAAAAGATTTCACTTAAACAAAGGGTGCCCTATACGTAGAAAGCTGACAGTTCCTCCCAGGATGCAGATGCGAGAAAAATTTCTCCTCTGGGTCCTCATACAGAGAACACTGAGATGTGAAGGACAGTGTTTTTAACAATATCCCTGTCGTAAGCGCAATAATAAGCCTTTTAGGACTGAGGCTCATGGTCTCTTAATGTGAGCTGAGGATGTAACTCAAAGCCAGTGCATTAAAAACAACTTTATAGTTAATAGTTTCTTATGAACATTAAACTAATAAGGGCTCATGCCTAATGAGGTACCTGCCCCCCTTCTCCCCCGCCTCCTTCTGATGATGGATTGAGAGACTGAGCAAGGCGGTGTGATCAGACCTCCCCTCCCCTCCCAGAGAGAGCACAAAATTATATCTCCTCATCTGGAGATAAGATACTGATGTTTTTATTATCATTATTATACCAAAATAAATAATGAAGATCTAGGAACTTCCAAAAGGTCCATTCAGTTGCAGATTTGAACTTTGGAACTCAGGTTTTCTAATTCCTGGTCTGGTGTTTCTTCCACATGTTAGACCTTTTTATTGAAGTATAATATACATACAGAAAAGTGGACATATCGTTAAATGTCCAGCTTCATGAGTTTTCATAAACAAAACCTCCAGATCAAACTCCATTACCAGTTAAATTCGTAGAGAGGGAAAGTAGAATGGTGGTTGCCAGGGGCTGGGGCGAGGGAATGGGAGGGTTAATGGTTAATGCACATAAAGTTTCATTTGGGGAAGATGAAGAAAGTCCTAGGGATGGATGGTTGCATGATAGTATGAAGGTACTGAATGCCACGAAACTATACACTTAAAAAAGGTTGAAATGATAAATTTTGTTAAGTAAATTGTACCAGAGTAAAAGAGAGGGAGAGAACACTACCAGAGCCTCAGAAGCTGCCGTCCTGCTGCCTTCCAGCTGCTACCCACCCTGCCCGCCCAGGGTTAGCTGCCTAAATTGAAAATGTTCACATTAAAAGGAACCTTAGGGATCATGTAGTCTGACCGTTTGGTTTACACACAACTGGAGGAAAAAAGGCACAAAGATTGTTTGCTGCAAGTCACACACTTATTTCCCCGTGATCACATCCCAGGTCCACGCGGGCTGCATGGGGAGCATAACTGCTTCTTGAACCTGTGTCAGATGAACGTTTGCACTTTATCAAATAGTAGCAGCCGGCAGCTGTACAGTTTATTAAATTCTCTAGCATGTCCAGCTGAGAGGAAATGAGAGGACGCCGTCCGAGTGTGGACCGAGAGGCGGGTGGCTGCCTGGGTGGCTGCCCGGGTGCCAGGCCTCCTGACACAGCCCTGCCCTTGGAGCACCTGCCGTGCTGGTGTTGACACTTCCCTTGAAGCTGAACAGCATGTGCTTCCTCGCTTTTGTCCGTGTGTTTCTTCTTAAACTACTTCCTAATATAATATTTGCTACAAAGGAAAGAGAATATGCAATGTATATGTAAGTTATGAATCAGAATAATAAAGCAAAAATTCACAGACGTTCCATCTATGTCATACATTTTAAATCACTAAAAACTGTTTTGTTTCCATCTGCAGTTTAAATCACTAAAAATGTGCTTACGTACGTATGGTCCGCATGCAGGGTACTGTATAGAGTGTTGCTGAAATTCTAAGACTGTTCTGATGCTTGACCTTTCTAGCGTCTCTTGGTATGACCTGAAGGGGAATTGGCACCAAAGTCAAGGCTGAGTTTTAGATAAAGGGTTCAGAAAGAACATAATGAGCACAGAGGGCTTTTGGCTTTTATTGTAGAGCACTTTACTGCTCTTCCCTCCTGGCCAGGTTCAATGTTATTTCTCCCTTCTTAGCCAACCTCACATCAAAACTAAGCACATAAAGGGGCCAGCCCAGTGGCCGAGTGGTTAAGTTCATGCACTCCACTTCGCCGGCCCAGGATTCACAGGTTTGGATCCCGGGCACGGACCTAGCACCACTCATCACGCCACACTGTGGCGGCATCCAACATAAAATTAAAGGAAGATTGGCACAGATGTTAGCTCAGCTACAGTCTTCCCCAGCAAAAAGAGGAGGATTGGCAACACATGTTAGCTCAGGGCCAATCTTCCTCACAAAAAAAAACCCCCAAAAAACAAAAACTGCTCACATCAGAACTAAGCACTGCTTAGTGTTTGCCGTATTTAATCAAGCAGAGGAAATACTTCTCTTCGCCTTTGGAAAGATTGAGGTGGTGATTTTTGTTCTCGGTGCTGTTTTTGCTGCAATGCACACAAATCCACCAGCATGAATCGTTTGCCTTTGGCTTTGCCAAGTCTGGAGTCTACTTCTTAACCTCATTTCTCAAAATCGAAATTTGCAAAAATCCTTATAACACTAGTCTGGGAGTCAGTTACATTCATTAAATCAAGCAGCCGTTCCTGTTTATTGAGAACCTATTACGTGGAAGAGTAATGGTCTTTAAAGCCTCAATGAAAGATGGTTTTTCTCTCGTTTTTTAGAATGGCACCAAACCCCCACTGGACACAGATGTAAATTTGGAACAAATTGCTCGTGACTGCCGCTGTGATCGCTATTCGTAAGTATCTCAGTCTCAAGTCGGTTAGTTCTCTGAGGCTCAGTTCCCCATGTGTAAAATGAGGGAGAATGACGTCCACCTCACCAGGTTGTTGAGAGGATTGCATCGGATGTCTGTAAACCACCTCACGTTTGGTTCTTCCTTAGAGAGGGGACTGCCCATCTTAGGCTCTGAGGAGTTCTTGGGAATGGCAGGAATCCTCTCATTCGTTGACCTGAGCACCGTTGCTGCCCTTTGCAGACTGTGTCTGTTCTTCCAGAATATTTGAGCAGGCGTTTCATTACTGGCTGCCAGATGATCCAGGTGTCTCAGCATTTAAGAGACAATAATCTGTATGTGCCACATTTTCCAAGCTCCAGAATGCGTTTTCATAGCACACCTGTTAACACCCATGCAGCCTAGTAAAAAGCAAGAAATCCAACATTTCTGCCTTCAGCTTTCATATATTTGTGCTGGTTGTAGTTTTTGTTTTCTTCATATGTTTTTAAGTAAGTTTGTTTGTTAACTTTCCCAATTTTGATGCACAGGGAAGAAAATGAAACTCAAGGTTAACTAACAGGAGGCATCGCCCCTCTGGCTCATTTTAAAGCCGTCTTGATCGTCCACAATATACTTGGTGTTCATGCTTTTCCTTCAGGACAGGGCCAAACAGTTTGCTTTCCGAAGCTCAGTCAGGCAGACGAGGCAGTGTTCTCACCTTTGAGGGCTTCGGGAGTCTGTTACTGAGTAGTGTAAACATACCCAAGGAATCCACCCACTGCTCCTAACACAGGTGCTTAGTCATTCCCAGTTCTGTTGAAGAATTTCCCATAACTCTCTTACAAGATGATTCCACGTGAAGCCACACTGATCATTTTTAGGGTGTGTAGTCAGGAGACAGAGGTTTTCCTCCAAGTTTTTCATAGATGGACGTCTAGGGCCACGAGTCTCAATCTCTGTTCTGCCACCCCTGTGCCCCGGCTCACACTTTGCTCAGTCATCTTGGCTCGCTTAAGAAAGCGGTGGATGTCTTGATGAAGAGGAAAGGATCGAGTCCCAGGCTGGGTGGTGGGGGCCTCTCCTCTCTTTAAGGAGACTGTTTCTCTCCCCCTAGTTGGGAATCAAACCTGTACCAGTCTGTACTTAAATGAACTGACTGTCAAGGAAAAGGAAAAAGACAAAAATTTACAGCTTTGAGTGCTAAAATCTGAAAAGATTTTCAGTGAGTTACGGAGACGGTTTTGATGGCAGAACCTACCAAACCTTTTGGATTGTACCACGTAGGCTGTCAGGTTATAGAGGGGTTAGGGTTAAAGTTGTACATTTTGGGTTTAAATGCCACTGTCATCACAGTTGGAGAGAAACTATAATACCACTGTCGTCAGCTACCTGGCTACGTTAGTTAGTGGTCTCTCCATGAGTGCTGGATTTCACATTAAGGGAAGGAATGAATACCCCTGCATGCATGTGACTGTTAAATAATGTTGTAAACCTAACACTTTACCAACAGGAACGTTAGATTCAGTTAATAATTTAAGCTCTGTGTCTTTATACATTATATGGATTGTCAACATTATATGTTAAATAAGTTTAATGTCTAGAAATGAAGGTTAATCCCTAAATTCAAACTCTTTCTCAAAGGGTCTCTATGAAGACGTACTGTAGTGAAACGTCAGTCAGCACCGCTGTCCTTCGTCGAGCTCAGGAACTGTGCTGACGAGCATTTGAGTGCACAGAATAATTAATTGAAGGCCTGCTGGTTCTTGTACTCAAGTAACTTATGATGTGTCCATTCAGCTTGAGCTTGATTCAAGTGCGTCAGACTTTCTAGCCTTCACATTTTCCCCTTTTGCTCTTGGGGCCTTAATAACTTTCCATATTAGCTTATTTTAGACATCAGGTGGTATGTGAATGGGCCAGTCACCATGTTAGCATAGGCCTCGTGGGTGAAAATTGTACAATAAATAATGTGTGAGCTTCTTCCACTGACTGGATGTTTTTATATTAACGTTAGTGTCTATAGCTATTAGCATGGGGATATTTGTGATTCATTGCATAGTTTGTGCCATAATTTCCTTTCTTCTAAAATATTTTAAGTGAAAGCGAACCAAGCTCTCTCCTACTGACCATAATAGTCTATCCCACCTTTAATGGTCACTTTCTTTCCTGATTCTTTAAAATGCGACGTGAGTGGAGACTGCTGTCAGACTTGTTTCTGGGATTTGCGGCATCTAAGAATAAATACGGAGGAACACTCTTTTTCTTACAGGGGCGCGGATCTCTCTGCCTTGGTGCGGGAAGCTTCTCTGTGTGCCCTGAGGCAGGAAATGGCAAGACAGAGGAGTGGAAGTGAAAAAGGTATGCTCTCTCGGATCTAATTAATCCTCACTCTGGATACCTGAAACCACTTTGGGCCTGGAAGATGACCATTTTCTAACATCTGTTATCTGTCATAGTAAAACTGACATTTTTCTCATAAGACCTTTAGAAACTGTTCTGGAATATTACTGTAGGGGCATTAGCTGGTGTGCCGCTTTAAGAACCATGTGTCCCTGAGGCTCCTGTCTGGGCTGTGTGCCAGCACGCATGATGATAACAGTCCTGGGCTTGGCCAACCCAGCTGCTTTCTCATGGGAGAGTTAGCACCAGGACCCTCAAAGTTGGAGGGAACACAGAGGCCGTCTGGGGTGGGGGGGCTCTGGTCCTTGGAATGCAGGTCATACAGGGATGATCCCCATTGGCAAGCATGCAGCCTTTGTTCCTCTGCCTACTTAAGCAAGCTTCTCTCAGGGGGCAGTAGTGGATTCACATTGCTGTCCAGCCAGCCGCCACTGGACTTTCCCTGTAACTCCCAATAAACCCACAGGTCTTGTTTCCTGTCTCCGGGTCTTTTCTTTGGTCTCTCGGCAGCCTATCCCACACTGCTTGCCCAGCTAGGTGTGTGGTGGAATGGTTACATAATGTCTGTGGCCAGCAGCTATAATAATTGCAAAGTTATTTGGTGCCTCTCTAACAGAAAGTATTCATCTTTCCTTCTCATTGTATAACAAATGCTGAGATTTAGGCACGTGGGTCCATTCACTGTCATCGTCGTGAGTTTGGTCCATTTATCAGTTCTGGAAAAGCTCCTTCTTTTGCTAAGGTGACTTGTACATTCCTGTTAAAATGCAGCCTGAATTGGAGAGCTTAGAACACACACACACACACACACAGATACATGAGAAGTGAAAATGAAGATAATTTTCCATATACCTAGACTTTCCTTTCAAATTACTGCAAAATCCAGATATGTTATTATGTGATGATTTGGGGCCATCTCAGCAGCTTTGTACCATTCTTCACATTTGATAATATCTTGGTGCTATTTCAGTGTGTTTAGCCAAAAAAGATTTCATTTGTGACCTGCATTCCAACCAAGCCAAGTGCAGAAATAGCCTTTGCTTTGTGAGGATCCTGTGACAGTTGAATGAGCAGTCGAGTTCGTGGCATTTTTGTAGTACTGTGGAACACCCTCCAAAACCCTGTCCGCCAAACCTGTACTTTCATCTCAACTTCAAGTCTGTGTTCATGGCCTTTTATTCACCAGATTCCCAAAAGACGTCTTTTTTATTTAGCTACCAAGAATCTTAGACCTAAATTTTGTTTACAGTTACAGCAGCATATACTCAGCTTAGATTTGTCAACACACATATCTTCACTATGAAGTCCCTGGATGTTTTGTTGTTTAATTTTAAGATTCAGTTATCTGAACTTCTTTTATTGTAAGCTATTTTAAATTCCTTTTGAAATTAGGTGAGATATAATTAGCAAAATTAGAAGATAAAAACATCCTAGATGATAGCGTGCTGCCTCAGAGCTGAGTCTGATGGCCGTGTTGGGATTTGTTTTGTCACTAAATTAGCAGGCCTCTGTACATGTGTTGGCTGCTACTGATAATTCTATTTGGATGTTATGTTATAAACATATATAACAAATTCTGCCATCCCTGCTTTACCACAGTTTGCATTTCTAGCTATCTGTCCTTCAGGGACTTTCATTGATATCTTAGGAAACTGAAGTCAGTAATGTCATTCAACTTCCAGTGGATAGATTCAGCTACACGTTGTATTTTATTTTGGGGTATATCTACTATTCTAATATCTGTCTAGAAAGTTGACTATTATAAGTATAAATTGGGGGCGGCCTGGTGGCATAGCGGTTAAGTTCGCATGTTCTGCTTTGATGGTCTGGGGTCTCCTGGTTCGGATCCTGGGTGCGGACATGGCACCACTCGTCAAGCCATGCTGTGGCAGGTGTCCCACATGAAATAGAGGATGGGCACGGATGTTAGCTCAGGGCCAGTCTTCCTCAGCAAAAAGAGGAGGATTGGCTGCAGATGGTAGCTCAGGGCTAATCTTCCTCAAAAAAAAAAAAATATATATATATGTATAAATTGTAATCATGTAAGTCATCTTAACGTTCTAAACCAAGCTTTATGTAACATTAGTTACTTGATTTCTCTTGCTTGTGTAATGACCTAAGTTTATAAAGAATTAGAACCCCCTTTTTAATATAAAAAAATCTAATCCAGTATTGTGATATTATCTATATGTATTATATGTTATGATACTGTAACTCCATGACATCTAGTTATATGTATGCACACAAATACTTTGGAGTTGTACTTTCTGTTCCCAGTTAAATGTATTTGAGTTATCTCAGAAGAGAACGATTCTGGTTCTTCATGAACATCACCGTTAAGCTAAGATAAACAGTGCAGAGAGGGCCTGCAAAGGGTTGTCTGTCTGTGAGGGATAGGTCTCTCTGGGTGGCATGATTAAAATTTGATGAGCAGACGGTGGGGAAATGGGGAGATGTTGGTTAAAGTGTACATACTCCCAGCTATAAGAAGAGTGAGGTCTGGGGAGCTAATGTACAGCATGGTGACTGTAATTAACAGTATCATATTATATACTTGAAAGTTGCTAAGAGAGTAGATCCTAAAAGTTATCACCACAAAAAATAAAGTAATTATGTGAGGGGGTGGAGGTATTAACTAACCCTATTCTGGTAATTATTTCACAGTATATACATGTATCATATCACATTGTGCACCTTTAACTTCATATGTTACATGTCAATAACATCTCGGTAGGGTGGGGGGGGATAAATAAATAAAACATCATGCACTGGTTTAAAAAAAGATAAGAATTTCTCTATAATTAAAGATGAACAAAATACTTTTTTAAAAATTGAGATATAATTGACATACATTATATTAGTTTCAGATGTACAACGTATTGATTCAATATGTTTATATATTGTGAAATGATCACCACAGTAAGTCTATTTGACATCCATCACCACACAAAGTTACAAATTTTTTTTTTCTTGTGATGCAAACTTTTAAGATCTACTCTCTTAGCAATTTTCAAATATACAGTACGGTATTATTAACTGTGGTTGCCATGCTGTACTTTACCTCCCCAGGACTTATTTATTTTATAGCTGGAAGTTTGTACATGTTGACCACCTTCACCCATTTCACCCACCCACCCCTCACCCCCTACATCTGGTAACCACCAGTCTGTTCTCTGTATCTGTGAGTTTAGAGTTTTTGTTTTGTTTCATTTTGTTTTGTTTTGATTCCACATGTAAGTGAGATCATACAGAAAGTGTCTCTGTCTGACATTTCACTTAGCATAATGCCCTGAAGATCCATCCATTTTATCACAGATGGCGGGATTTCCTTCTTTTTTATGGCTGAGTAGTAGTCCATTGTATGTATACACCACGTTTTCTTCATCCATTCACCCATTGATGGACACTTAGGTTGTTTCCACATGGTGGCTACTGTGAATAATGCTGCTGTGAACGTGGGGGTGCAGATAACTCTTCAAGTTAGTCTTTTCATTTCCTTCAGATAAACACCCAGAAGTGGGATTGCTGGATCATATGGTTGTTCTGTTTTCAATTTTTTGAGGACCCTCCATACTGTTTTCCATAGTGGCTGCACCAGTTTACATTCCCATTAACAGTGCACCAGGCTTCCCTTTTCTCCACGTGCTCGCCAACACTTGTTATTTCTTCTCTTTTGATAATAGCCGTTCTAAGAGGTGTGAGATGATACCTCATTGTGGTCTTGATTTGCATTTCCCTGTTGATTAGTGATGTTGAGCACCTTTTCATGTACCTGTTGCCCATCTGTATGTCTTCTTTGGGAAAATGTCTATTCAGAACCTCTGCCCATGTTTTAATTGGATCGTTTGGGGTTTTTTGCTGTTAAGTTCTGTGAGTTCTTTATATATTTTGGATATTAATCCCTTATCAGATAGATGGTTTGCAAATATTTCCTCCCATTCGGTAGATTGCCGTTTCATTTTGTTGGTGGTTTCTTTTCCTGTGCAGAAGCTTTTTAGTTTGATGTAGTCCCACTTGTTTATTTTTGATTTTTGTTGCCTTTACTTTTTGTGTCACGTCCAAAAAATCATCTCCAAGACCAATGTCAAGGAGCTTGCGGCCTATGTTTTCCTCAAGGAGTTTTATGGTTTTACGACAAAGTACTTTTTTATATAACTTGCCCCAAAATAAAGTGTTTTGATTGCTAAAAAAAAAAAAAAATTGCACTAAAATTTATGATCTTATAAAACTTAGGCATTTATATAAAATTAAATATGGTCAGATATATGTAAATTAAATAAAAATGAAAATTGTATAAGAAAAATTTGATGAGCAGAATATATCTGGCTTGACTACTGTTCTGAAAAAGAACACAATCAATGTCATTGCTAATTTCCTCTCTGTTCCCCTTAAAGTCGTGGAACTCTCTTAAGAGGAACTAAGTTATAAATCACAATTAGTCTACTGTACTGATATGTGTATTTACACATTCACTTCACAGGTGAGCTCAAGATCGGTCAGAAGCACTTTGAAGAAGCTTTCGAGAAAGTAAAATCATCTATATCAAGAAAGGTAAGCAATGCTCTTAAATGTTAGAGAAAAGAGACTAGATTTGAGGCCAGTAGATATGAACTCATGAAAACAAGAAAATAACTGCCTTTTTAAGAATGTTCTTTAGAGATATTAATTTTGCATGTCCTAGGAGACTAAAGCATGGTTACTCCCAACTGGACTCCTTAATAACTCTTACTCAGAGAATATGACCTCTTGTGTCTGGTTCCACAATCTCAGAATTTGTAATCAGTCTCACTCAATTCAAGTGTTATTTGACCTACTCAGTCCTTTGTGACCAGTGGTTTCTTATCTTGGAGCTAGACTACCCAGACTAAGCAGTAGAGACTTACTCATACGTTTCAGGGAAGTGAAGAGATCTTCACCATAAGGTTGGAGAAGCGTTACAAGCAAATCACACTAGCTTTTCCTTACATAAAATGCTGGGTTTTGCATGTTTACTTCTTGCTGTGTAGACGTTTTCTGTTTGTAATAAGTTAAAATGGTTGCTGTTAAGTGAAGTCAGGTTGTTGTGATGCAAAGAGGGTTGGCAGGGAAACATCCAACCCTAAGAAGTGGCTGAATTGAATACTCTTGTGATGGGTTTGTTCCCTTGGGTCTCTTTTATTTCCAGGCTCCTAGAAGTATAGTATGCCTTAGCCATGGAACCTGCTTAAGCTTGTTGACTCTGCTTAAACTTCCTTTAAATCGTTAGCCCTGTATCACTTCAGGCTCAGCATTTCTTGTGATTGAAAACTCCTAAGTCAGAATGCAAACAGTTGTGTGTTCTGAGGTGGTTGAGACTCTTATCACTTCTCGGTGCAATAACTAGTCGCTGGGTTTGGGCTAGTTGGTGGTGTCTTTAGGCATGTGACTGCCTTCTTCTTCAGCTCAAGTTACGAAGCAAGAGTTGCCGGGCTGGGACTGAGTCTTCCCCGTATTTGGGGAAACAGCAGTCTGCCTTGACCCCTTAGGCGTTTTTGTATGCTAGAGAACATGTTCTTATTTTACTGAACATCTTTGATTAAGACAGTCTCATTAATTAAAATCAGAAACAGGTTTGCAGTTAATATTACTGGCATTTTTCATTCTGATCAACAAGAGGCTAGTGATGTGTGTCCTCCTAAGATTTGATCATTAAAAAGTTTTTTTAACCGAGACTGTTGTGACCTACAGCCTGAGTTGGGAGGCTTTTCAAGAATTAGGACTTACTGGCATAGCTCCACGTTGCCGCTCGTTCGCTGATCTTACTTTTTTTAATTGGAGTTTAACTTAAAATAAGGCGCAAACTTAAGTGTACAGTTTTGTTTGACAGTTGTAACCAGCACTGCCATCGAGATATGGAGTATTTTCATCACTTGAGAAAGTTCCTTGTGTCCTTTGTAGTCACTGCCTTTCCAAACCACCTCCAGGTGACCCCTGGTCTGACTTCTGTCGCCGTCCTCGAACTCTGCCTGTTTTAGAACTTTATGGAGGGCCCGCCCGGTGGCACAGCAGTTAAGTTCGCGCATTCCGCTTTGGTGGCCCGGGGTTCGCCGGTTCAGATCCCGGGTGCGGACGTGGCACTGCTTGGCATGCCATGCTGTGGCAGGCATCCCACAAATAAAGTGGAGGAAGATGGGGACGGATGTTAGCTCAGGGCCAGTCTTCCTCAGTAAAAAGGGGAGGATTGGCAGCAGTTAGCTCAGGGCTAATCATCCTAAAAAAAAATAGAAAAAATAACTTTCTGGAAACAGAAACATGCAGTCTGTGCTCCTTTGAGTCTGGCCTCTTTTGATCAGCATGTTGTTCTTGAGATTCCTCCATGTTCTTCTCTTTTTCGGTGGTTTGCTCCTTTCTCTTGCTGACTAGTTTTTGTTATATTTGTATACCACTGTTTGCTTATCTTTTCACCTGTTGGTAGACACTTGGGTTGTTTCCAGTTTTTGGCTTTTATGAATAAAGGTGCTCTGAACAAGGATGTGGACATGTTTTGATTTGTGTGAACATGTGTTTTTATTTCTCGAGTAAATAACCAAAAGAGGAATTGCTGGGTCATGTAGTAAGTGTATATTTAACTTTATAGGAAACTGCCAGCCTTTTTTTCCAAAGCACCTATACTGTTTTCCATCTGCACTAACACTTTTTTTTTTAATTGAGGTGACATTGGTTTTAACATTATATAAATTTCAGGTATACATCATAATCTATTTCGATTCCTTTGTAGATTACATCATGTTCACCACCCAAAGCCTGATTACAATCCATCACCGCACATGAGCCTAATGACCTCTTTCACCCTCCTCGCTCCCCCCTTCCCCTCTGGTAACCACCAGTCTAATCTCTGTCTCTGTGTGATTGTTTGTTGTTGTTTTTATCTTCTACTTATGAGTGAGATCATACAGTATTTGGCTTTCTCTCTCTGACGTATTTCACTCAGCTTAATACCCTCAAGGTCCATCCATGTTGTCGCAAATGGCTGGATTTCATTGTTTCTTAACGGCCGAGTATTCCATTACATATATGTACCACATCTTTATCCATTTGTCCCTTGGTGGGCACCTGGGTTTCTTCCAGGTCTACACAATTGTGAGTAATGCCGCAGTGAACATGGGAGTACATATCTCTTTACACATTCATGTTTTCATGTTCTTTGGATAAATACCCAGCAGTGGAATAGCTAGATCATATGGTAGTTCCATTCTTAATTTTTTGAGGACTCTCCATACTGTTTTCCGTAGTGGCTACACCAGTTTGCAATCCCACCAGGAGTGTATGAGAGTTCCCGTCTCTCCACAAGTTCTCCAACACTTGTTATTGTTAATTATAGCCATTCTGATGGGCATGAGGTGATATCTCATTATAGTTTTGATTTGCATTTCCCTGATAATTAGTGATGCTGAACATCTTTTCATGTGCCTGTTGGCTATCTGTATATCTCCTTTGGAAAAATGTTCAGATCTTTTGCACATTTTTTAATTGGGTTGTTGGTTTTTTTGTTGTTGACATGTATGAGTTCTTTAAATATTTTGGATATTAACCCTTTATCAGATACATAGTTTGCAAATATCTTCTCCCGATTGTTAGGTAGTCTTTTCATTTTGTTGATGGTGTCCTTTGCTGTGTAGAAGCTTTTTAGTTTGATGTAGTCCCATTGGTTTATTTTTTCTGTTGTTTCCCTTGCCCTGTCAGACATGGTACTTGAAAATATGCTGCTAAGACCAATGTCAAAGAGCATAGGGCCTGTGTTTTCTTCCAGAAGTTTTATGGTTTTATGTCTTACCTTCAAGTCTTTTAATCCATTTTGAATTCATTTTTGTGTATGGTGTAAGATAGTGTTCTACTTTCTTTTGCGTGTAGCTGTCCAGTTTTCCCAACATCGTTTATTGAAGAGACTTTCCTTTCTCAATTTTATGTTCATGGCTCCCTTTTCAAAAACCAGCTGTCTATAGATGTGTGGGTTTATTTCTGGGCTCTCGATTCTGTTACATTGATCTGTCTGTCTGTTTTTGTGCCAGTACCATGCTGTTTTGGTTACTATAGCTTTGTAGTATATTTTGAAATCAGAGTGTGTGATACCTCCAGCTTTGTTCTTTTTTCTCAGGGTTCCTTTGGCTATCCAGGGTCTTTTGTTGTTCCATATAAATTTTAGGATTCTTTGTTCTGTTTCTCTGAAAAATGTTGTTGGAACTTTGATAGGAATTGCATTGAATCTGTAGATTGCATTAGGAAGTATGGACATTTTAAATATGTTAATTCTTCCAGTCCAGGAGTATGGAATATCTTTCCATTTCTTCGTGTCTTCTTCAATTTCTTTCAACATTGTTTTCTAGTTTTCAGTGTACAGGGCTTTCACCTCTCTGGTTAAGTTTATTCCTAGGTATTTGGTTCTTTTTGTTGCAATTGTAAATGGGATTGTATTCTTGATTTCTCTTTCTGTTACTTCATTGTTAGTGTATAGAAACACAGTTGATTTTTGTATGTTGATTTTTTATCCTGCAACTTTACCATATTCATTTATTATTTCTAAAAGCTTTTTGGTGAATTCTTTAGGATTTTCTATATATAAAATCATGTCATCTACGAATAATGACAGTTTCACTTCTTCCTTTCCAATTTGGATCCATTTTATTTATTTTTCTTGCCTGATCGCTCTGGCTAGGACTTCCAATGCTATGTTAAATAAGAGTGGTGACAATGGGCATCTTTGTCTGGTTCCTCCTGTTCTTAGGATAGCTTTCAGTTTTTCTCTGTTGAGTATATTAGCTGTGGGTTTGTCATTATATGGCCTTCATTATGGTGAGGTACTTTGCTTCTATACCCATTTTTTGAAAGGTTTCATCATAAATGGATGCTCTATGTTGTCAAATGGCTTTCTCTGCATCTTTTGAGATGATCATGTGCTTTTTTTTTTTTTTTCCCTTGAGGAAGATTCACCAGAGTTAACATTTGTGCCAGTTTTCCTCTATTTTGCATGTGGGTTGCTGCCACAGCATGGCCGCCAACAAGTGGTGTAGGTCCGTGCCTGGGAACTGAACCCAGGCCTCCAAAGTGGAGTACGCTGAACTTAACCAGTAGGCCATGGGGCCATCCCTGATCTTGTGATCTTTTATTCTTCATTTTGTTAATGTGATGTATCACAGTGATTGATTTGCAGATATTGAACCATCCCTGCATCCCTGGAACAAATCCCACTTGATCATGATGTATGATCTTTTTAATGTATTGTTGTATTCAATTTGCTAGTATTTTGTTGAGAATTTTTGCATCGATGTTCATCTGTGATGCTGGCCTGTAATTTTCTTTTTTTTGTGTTGTCCTTGTCTGGTTTGGCATCAGGGTAATGTTGGCTTCGTAGAATGAGTAAGGAAGCTTCCCCTCCTCTTCAGTTTTTTGGAAGAGATTGAGAAGGATAGGTATTAAGTCTTCTTTGAATGTTTGGTAGAATTCACCAGGGGAGCCATCTGGTCCTGGACTTTTATTTTTTGGGATATTTTTGATTACTGTTTCGATCTCCTTACTGTTGATTGATCTATTCAAAT